AAGGGATCACCCTTCAGTCACTCGGGAGGAATTCCCAAACTCCTCCATCCGTGATGAAGGTTTTCTTTACATGCCATGGACACAAGATGCCAGCAGGTCGCTGTGGAGAAACCTGTGCATTTCTGCTTGGCTCTTTCTGGTCAGTTTTTCAAGCAGAAATATTACACACAATGCACACATTATGTGGCATTTTAAAATGTTGCTCAGCACTGGTCAAGGTTGACCCTTACTGCCTTCAGTAACACTGAAGGTGAAGTCGGGGGGAGCAGGGGTGGGCCAAGCCCAAGTTGTTCCTAGATGATCTTTGAGGTCCCTTCCAACCCTAACCATTCTATGATTCTAAAACCTCGCCAGTAGAAACCAGGAAAATGTTTAAAATAGGAACAGGCATCACAGATGTATTCATTTATAAGCAGAACAGCATTATTATTTCATAACAAATAATTTGAAGCAATCTACAAAGAATGCAAAAGCCTAGTACTTTACTTGGTCAAAATACTTAGAGGACTATAAAAGCAAAATCATGCTGCTCTGATGTTGTTAACTCCTGTCTAAAACTATTACACAATCTAATTAGCTCAAGTTTTATCCAAGTGCATTAAACTTTCCATTAAGCAACACAGCACCCAAGAACACAGCATGCAGGAGCCTGAATCTGCCTCACTGACACTGGTGGCAAAACTCCCACGGACTTCAAAAAAGCAGGACTAGGCATGGGCACCTCCGATTTCCTGCTTTCCTCTCTATTTTCCTTCCTTGGAGAGAGGATTTCTGTAAGTTTAGTGGTCTTCGCACAGATTGCTATCACTGTGGGTTTTAATTTGGATGAGTTGTTTTACAGGACTAACACTAAGTTGTTTCACATAGTAGAAGCAAATGAACACAGGAAATAGGCCAAAATGACAACAATCAAGTAGCAGAAATCGAAGCCAGCATAATCTTCTTTGTATGTTAAGTGGAGAAAAGGTTATAAATAAATTGGGGCCTGAATTCTCAAAATCACTTGCAAAATAACAGAAGCAAGGAGAAGCAGGGGAGCTGAGCTGCTTAATAAAGACCAATTCCCCTACTGAGGCAGCCCTATATAGTCATCTTGCAAGACCTGGGATCAGTAGGACCCTTCCGAGAAAAGCAGCAGCAGCAGTCATAGAAAGTTTTGACAATGCTGCAGAGTCATAAATGGCAAAGAATTAATGAAAGAAACAAACATGTTTATAATTTATCTCCATAAAATGCACAAACTGGCTTCACTTTCAAAGGTTTGTGCAAAATAATGGGGGATGAAGAAACAGCTATGTCCATAGCCCATTCTGAACTCCTGTCTGCCTTCTTTGGAACAGCTGCCCTCTCATTAAGAGATGGAAACAGTATGACCAGAGGAAAAAATGAAACACAAAGTCACGTATAGCTGTGACAAAATCCTGTCTATTAAAGCAGTTAATAATCTACCAAATTATTAGCTTGATATACTGCTGTCATCCAGAGATGTCACAGTATGAAAGGTGCTGATAAGAACATGCACTTCTGGACTTGGCACTCTGTTTGTCTCTCATCACCGTGTACATAAATGCATAATAAGCACAGTGTACTTTGGATTTCTGCAGCTCACAGGACTCAGCGATGAAAGAACAACAATCCACTCACACATATTTTTGTTTTGTTTTGCTCTTCTCCAGAACGCAGTCCAGTTTAAAACATATATTTGGAAAACATCTATTTTTAACGTGCCAAAAAAAGCCAGCTTCCTACCTCCCACTTCCAAATTCAATGTTTCTCTGAATCATTCTCTCTAATGATTCTTCCTCTTTCACTTGCAAGAAGACTAGGTGGGGAGACCAATAACAGAAGTTCCTTGATAAGATAACAGCGTGGTAAATAAGGGCTGAAGCAAAGTAAAATGCATCGAAAACATTGGGAAAGGTTATTCTGTTGTTTATTTTTGTTTGGTTGTGTTTTTTTTTTTTACAGTTTTATAAAATACTAATCCAAAAGGTAAGGAAAAAAATGTGATCTAAATGATAAGAATATGAATTTATGTAAAGAGAGGGAAAAGTTCTCAAAGAGAAATTTAAAGAATTATGATAGTGGCTTAGAAATAATAAGACTATGATCTTGTGGACAATTCAGAAAAGAGAGATAAGGTTTAGTGAGTTAGAGAAAGACTAATATGTTCACTTCTTTAAAAGATAACGTTAAGGCCATGATACTTAAGCGTTAGGTCTTAAATTTTAACCGTGATGTGAAATTCTGTTCAGATGAACGTGAAGGTAAATGGAATAAAAAGTACTTAAAAACTAAGGGAAATAGTGGAATGTCTACAACTGCAACAGACTTACTTTTGACTATCCAAAATGGAGAAATAAGAAAATCTTTGGACAGCTATTCACAGTAATAACATCGGAATATTTAATGAATAGAAACCGTGTAAATTACACTGCGAGCAAGTTACATACAAGAATTTGCCAAAATGGAGAAATAAGAAAATCTTTGGACAACTATTCACAGAAATAACATAGGAATATTTAATGAATAGAAACTGTGTAAATTACACTGTGAGTAAGTTACATACAAGAATTTAGCCATAAAATTTCAGAGGATTACCTGAGTAGTGAGAAATTAACATTACTTTCATCAGGGATTAAAAATTTCCAATCCGTATCCTGTTAAGTTTTTATACCCCAAAACATTACTCTGGTATCTTGTAGGATTTCCTTACAATTTCAGGACAAATTCAAGAAAATGGAAAACTTCACAAAGTATCTTGAAAGTAGTGATCAGGAAGTAGTAGGGAAAAAAGTTTGCTTTCTGGATCTTCAGAAATCCAGCAGATTTCTTTCTCCCAAAATGTAGAAACAGCTATGTGATCCTCAAAGAACTGGAAACCTGATGACTAAATCCAGAAACACTGAAGACTACTGGGAACCTGATCCTTCTTTTGTTTCAGAAGGGAAACAATATACAATGAGAGACCTATACACAGAAGACCTAAAGCTGGGAGAACACCAACTTTTCCCAAACGTTTCTCCTGTAAGAGGTAAATGATGCATGAAAATACATGCAAGAATGTGTAAAAAGTGTAATTTTTGTTAGTCACATATCATGTAACTCGATTAAACTGGGTTGCTAGGTTGGGCAGAATCTTGACTTCTTTTTTTTTTTCTTTTCTAAGAAAACATGCACAGCATAATAATCTTGATTATTCAGAGAACAGTAACATTTTGTGTGACATGATTAGCATTTCTACTAAATTATTCAGAATGCTGACAAGAAGCCATTTGGCCTTGACACAAAGTGCACTAGAGCCCATGGGAAGACCAGCTTCTCATCAGACCTCACTTGAAAAACTTCCTGACATATTATGAACATGTAATTCCGTTGCCTCTGAAATTACATATGATGAGCAAAGTAAATAGGAATGGGGTTACTTCCCCATAACAGTGATATATTATTATAAGTAATTTAGTGCCATATACACTGTATGTCAGAAAGGAAGGAAAAGGAAAGGGAAAAGGAAAAGGAAAAGGAAAAGGAAAAGGAAAAGGAAAAGGAAAAGGAAAAGGAAAAGGAAAAGGAAAAGGAAAAGGAAAAGGAAAAGGAAAAGGGAAAGGAAAAGGAAAAGGAAAAAGAAAAAAGGAAAAAGGATAAGGAAAAGAAAAAAGGAAAAGAAAAAGGAAAAAGGAAAAAGGATAAGGAAAAGAAAAAAGGAAAAGAAAAAAGGAAAAGAGAAAGGAAAAAAGGATAAGGAAAAGAAAAAAGGAAAAGAAAAAGGAAAAAGGAAAAGGAAAAGGAAAAAAAGGAATTACTAGAATAATTTCTCCCTTTTCACCTCTTTTTTCTATATACTGGGAAGAAGAAACAGAATCCAGAGGACAGGATGGTGAGAAGGTGAGATGAGAAGCAATCAGGTGTGCTGTCTAGAGGAGAACAGATGCTGACAAGCTGGGCTACTAGCCTGGTAAAAGATGCAGGAATAAGGATGGGGAAAGCTTCACATTCCTCAGCAGTCCTGGATTGTTGGTAAGACCTGAGGCATGGTCTCCACTTAAAAGGTTTTGCTGGCTTAACCGTATCATTTAGAAGTGTGAAAAAAAAATCCCACCCACATCACTACACCCCACTGTAAATGTAGGTCAAGCAGCAAAATGGCCCATTCAGAGACTGGGTTTACACTATACCAGTTAAATGGCTTTGCCAGTAAAGGCTGTCTTTCTGCTGTGGGTGTGTGGGAAGGAGATGGTACCTTTTACAAATCTTTTCACGTCTAGGTAAACTCTGTCGAAAACTGGAAGCATCAGTAACTACTTCCTGATGGTAAATTTGGAATACTGGGCTATCTCCGAAATTAAAAAGCCCAGCTGTCGTCATGGCAGTTCTCAAGAGTCAGCAAAGTCCTTTCCTAAGGGGCTTTCACCTACACTGCAAACAGATGCCTCTCATACCCACTTGCTGCTCCTTACAAGACTAATTACGTTTTGGTTCTCCCTCCTTAATTTGGTCCTAAGATTCACTCCCTACCCATATATCCCTGAGAAATCAGTTTGCTGCTTTCAAAGAAATCCCCCGAGGCCCAATTTTCAGGGGGTGTGACCCACTAACTTTCTTTGGCTGCCTTTGAGGCCGTCCCAACTCCAGTGCCTCTGAGCCCAGTAGAAGCCAGGAAATGAGAGCATATGGTAAATAGCTTAACTCACACCAGTTTGGCTTTCAATTCTAGCGTGATCTTTCAGTGTTTTGCACCCAGTAAGATGTCTGTTAACTCTAAAGGCTCGGGTTCAAGAGAATAAATCCAGTGACTCTAGGAGGAGTCTGGGGGCTGTAGGAGGGGTGTAGGAGGGTTTAGAATGGATCTGGGGTCTCTATGATGGGTCTGAGGGCTCTCAGATACAACTGGGAGGGTGTAGAATGTGTCTGGGAGGATCTGGGGGTCTCTAGGAGGGGTCTGGAGTCACGTAGAATAGCAGCTGTTGCCTCTATCAAGAAAACATGTTTAAAAATATTACCTTTTAATACTTCTTTTTTCTCTTACTCCCTCTTTCATGGAGCCAGGGTGGATGCTATAAAAGAAATAAACATTAATTAAGATGAGCTAATTCACAAAAGGAACATAGCGTAAACATCTTCCCCCTTCATTTACCTGATATTGACCACATACACAGTGTAATTCCAGTTCTGGAAAGTACGGTTTAGCTGAAAAACAGGAAGACATTGATCACATGAATGGTGAGGTGTTACTGGGGCTCTTTGTTGCTTAAGACAGAGTTAGAATTTCACCCTTCTCTCCCTTGAGAAATCCCCTTCAGTTTTTCGAAGCAAAAAGAATACTGTCCCATTTCAGCGAGGCGACAGTTGTATTAGATGTAACAGTGGTAGTGAGAGACGTGGGCTTTTTTACTGACAGAAGGAAATCTTTGTAAGGTCATGACACAGAGTACAAGTGAGAGCAACTTTTCCTTTTCTCCCTCTCTTCCCCATCTTAAATTCTCAGAAACACTTTGCTTACAAAAGATTTCCTGACAAAACTACAGGGTCAATTTTCACCTAAAAGTCTACAACCTTATGAAGATCTTTTTTCCAGACCTCTGTACTATTTATTCTGAGTGGGCAGTGGCTGCTCAGTTTTCCTCCTGGGAGACACTTTTGCATGTTCTGCTAGGGCCAAGTGACACCTTTCTGGATTCTTTGGCTCAGGTACCTACGTACTTCGCCTGGCTACTGCTGCTAAGAGAACAACCTTGGCAGGTGTGGATGGCTGCACTTCTGGCTTGTAGATGACTACAGGTGGTTTCTCTTCCTTAGCTTCTGAAAGCTGAAAGCCTCCAGGTTTATTAAAAGAAATGGGTGATGATGGGTGATAGAACAAGAGGAAATGGGTATAAGCTTAGTCAGGGGAGATTCAGGTTGGATGTTAGGAAGTATTTCTTCTCTGAAAGGGTTGTCAGCCACTGGAATAGGCTGCCCAGGGAGGTGGTTGAGTCCCCATCCCTGGATGTGTTTAAGAATAGGGTGGACGATCTACTTAGGGATATGGTTTAATGGGGATTAGGGATGGTTGGACTCGATGATCTCTGAGGTCTTTTCCAACCTAGAAATCTATGAAATCTATGAAATCTATGAAATCTGAAGAATAATTGCTATATACTTATGACATCATATTTCCCTGTAAGTAGTTGGTATAAAGACTACTTATGGATTGTGTGAGTGCCCCTATGTGAACTGTCAAAAAGGACAGAGACTATCTATATTTAGACAGGAGAAACTTTCAGAGGCAGAAACTTCAAGAATTCTCCACCTAGAGGGCCCAGAAAGGAGTTTATGTCTGCTAAAATGGGCTGAAAAACCAGAGGCTACTAGAAACCCCAACAACTGACCTACAGCAGACGACTTCTGAAGTAGAGAACATTAGAGTAAATTGGAAAAGTGTATTGACTCACACAAACAAATACCACCTGGTTTTTATTATTTCTTTCACAATATAACTTCAAAACCACATTAGTATTTGGGGAGAAAAATTTTGCTCTATATAGTGATGTTGGAACTTAGACATCTACCTCTTTCAGAGCACGAGTCTGATTTCTCCGTACTTTCCAAAATCTCAACTAGTATCTACATTTCTTAAGAAGCTAGCTGGTATAGTGGATACATTTCAAAATCGTATCCATAGTGACTAATAGCCCCAGCTAGACCTGAATTCATTACTGTGCAAATCGATAACAGAAAGATCTTCAAAGAACACATTAATTTAAGAATTTATTTGGCATTCTCTCTCTTTTTTTCCCTTTTCAGATTGGTAACATCCATGGGACAGATTCATATATGTAATCACACAGGAAAGAAAACTTAACTTACCCATTCCGCAACCACATCGTGTACTTTCGACACTGAATCGGAGTTGGAACTAAAGACAGTTATAGATATCCTGTAGAACAGCCCACCTGTCCATTAAAAACAGCATTATAATGTTACAAACTGAGCAAATTCACCTTTTTAATAACGAGAGTTAAGTTTCATGATGAATGTAGAGATTGGACTGAACCCCAGATACAAGGACACTTCAAGCTCTTGTTGGCATTATGCAAGTTTGGAGTGAGCAAGCCCTGCAGGCTTGGGCCCATTCTCACTAGTCCTGTCGAATCAGACAAGAATTCCCTCCCCCTCCATGTTTTTAGAGACACTTGTGACGTGGAAACTCATAAACAATGCACATATAAATAGTAATTTGCACGTGCCTTTAATGTGGTGTATAAAAACAAGATCATGAAAGTGCCATGAATTTAAAAAATAATCATAGAATCATAGAATCATAGAATGTTTAGGGTTGGAAGGGACCTCAAAGATCATCTAGTTCCAACCCCCCTGCCATGGGCAGGGACACCCTCCACTACACCAGGTTGCCCAAAGCCTCATCCAACCTGGCCTTGAACACTTCCAGGGATGGGGCAGCCACAACTTCTCTGGGCAACCTGTTCCAGTACCTCACCACCCTCAATGTAAAGAATTTCTTTCTTATATCTAACCTAAATCTGCCCTCTTTCAGTTTAAATCCATTGCCCCTTGTCCTATCACTACACACCCTTCTTGTAATCATGATTACAGAAGTCTGTAACATGGATGAATTTTGCTCTCTGTCATATCGTTATAACCCAGAATTCAGGCACTGCAGACTAGACTTAAAACTTTGTGAGAGCAGGTAAAGCTCATCTACTCAGCGATATGGTTTAATGGGGATTAGGGATGGTTGGACTCGATGATCTCTAAGGTCTTTTCCAACCTAGAAATCTATGAATCTATGAATCAAGTGAAAGTAACAAGCTAACTGAGGACAGAATTAGGGAGGAGAAGGGATACCCAGCTCTTTTTTTCACAGCACAGTCTTTGCTCTCCAGCCTGGTGATGGCTAGATAGTAGAAGAACCCACATTGGCTTTCCAAAGCTGGCAGCTGAACAAACACCCTTTCAGTCACAAAATGTGTAACACTTGGCTTGGAGCAATTTTACAGTCAGTAAAATTGTTTTGAAATGGCACTGGGTAAATATAAATTCTCTTTAAGCTCATGAGCTGGTAGGCAGCATGACAAGAGTTCACATCCAATAAATAACATCAAATCATCTCAGAGTTATGCTCTGTGTTAAAAGTCAAATTTTTGTCATTAAGCTACTAAGAATTCTGCACGCGCCGGTTGGATGAAATTTTGCAGGATGTGGGGGAGGTTTGAGAGCTTCTGGATCAATTCACTTGCACGTTTGCACACATGTGGCACTGCCTGGTTCGGGGTGGCTACCAAAGTTGTGAGTCTTGATCACAGACGCACGTATTTATAGAAATCTTACGTAAATCTTACAGCGACACTACATAGGACAGAACAGGACATCACAACAATCACACAGAAATCCCTTTTTTTTTTCTTGATTGTAAAGGAACTGTTGAATCTTTTTGAGTCTAAATAAAAGACCTTTCACTCTCGTTATGTACGTGTGGAACAACTGTAATAATTTTACAACTTCATAGATAATCATTTCACAAGAGCTTGAAATGGAAGTATCTTGATCTTTAAGGTCCCTTCCAACCCTAACCATTCTATGATTCTATAATTCTATGATTCTATCTGAAAAACAATTTGAAGTCAGTATTTTCTGATTTAATGGTGCCTATTGGTTACTATCCTATTCATGAGCTGGCTTGATGATCAATTATAGAATTGATCATATGATCACTGGGATTAGTATGAATATTCCTTTATGGTAAAATACTACAGAATCCATTTGTTGCAGGAAGATGGTTTACTAGTTATCTTCTTTGGTAAGCTGTGAATAAATTTTAGATCTGAGTAGAATGAACTTTCTTGCTTTTTGATTTATTTTCTTTTTTCCCTCCCTTAACTCAGCAGACACACAAATTTGGCGTGCAGTTTAATATGAAAATATATTTTAGTTTATTATTACTGTGATAGTTTCAAATAAAAAGAGTGGAAAAAAAAATTCTTTGGAAGTAGAAAATTTGACTTTGGGCAAGTTGAAAACACTTGCAAGACTTGGACCTCATTTATATGGATATAGCTCTGTAAATACATATATTCAATTGTGTATGTATAATATATCTTTTATATGTGCTATACAGAAACACATATACAGAACGTGTGCCTTATATGTATTCTCACACATTCATATAACCATATACATAATTATAACCTCATTTATATAATTATGTATATGGACAAAGTCACTTTAATATGGGAATATGTGAAGCATTTTTAAAATCAAACACAGTAACTACAAACTAGTCAACAGCTTCAAGACCTCCACCAGATGGTGACCCAAAGCATGTTTTAACGAAGTGAAGAAAGAACAAAGAACTAATCTACATTTTTAAACACTCTCAGGAGACTGCAGTGGCAGATAGTGAAAACTAAAAATGATTTCTCACTCTCCAAGTTAAACAGTGGAAATCCCACCTCAAAATGCTGAATGAAAAAAAAATATTTTTATGGGCAGAATACTGATGAAAAGTAGTCAAAGTTAGTTTGAAAAAAGACAAAAAAAGAACCTAGAAAAACAATTCTCACCACACCCACCACCAACTACAAAAATATAATGATCAATGAAAAATCAGCATTGTTTTTTTTAAATTCTATTAGTCAAATTTTGCAAAAGTTTATTTTGGAAAATCTTTGCTTTTTGAAAGTTAAATCCTCAAAAATATAGGAATACTGTAAGTGAAAAAAAATTCATACAATCTCAAACAATAAAATTGAATAAAAATATAGATAATACATAACAATGTATATTATTCTCAGAGTCTCATGAGAGCTGTCTTAGAAAAGTACACAAAAATCAGACATCACACGTTAATGATTAACCATTAAGATGTTACAAATTCCCTTCTACTACAATTAAATTACTATTCTAAAATCTTTTCATATGCTAAATGGATTTATATCTACAGGATGAAAGTCAGCTACTTCTATGTTCCGTCTACCAACTGAATATCTAATAGATAAGATGATCTGTTTTGGTTTTTTTTCTACATCTAACTTAACAGCTTGACATACTGTAGTTGTCCTCGTGTCGACAAAGGCAGCCCTGCTCAGCGAAGGAATAACACAAACATGATAAAAAGACTGCAGGAGAGCTAGGAGGTTGATTCAGTGGTGGATAAGGGGTGGTATTTTGGCTTGCCCCAGGTGATAAATTGGCCAAGGAATGAACGTGTGCTGAAACTGATGACTGATGGTACACGACAGAAGAAAATGGCATTTGGGACTGCGTGAAAGACGGATGGACTGCGGTTCCAGGTGTCATCAGAGCGCCGTTCCAAATGGTCTCTTTGTGCTCAATAATAACCCCACTGTATGAAGGTGACAAAGGTATCACATCATTCATTATTGCAGTTCTTGATGATTCAAGAATGGAAGAGAGATTTGCAAACCGTCCATAATCAGCATTTTCAAAATCCAAGGCATGAGTACTAACAATATCCAGAGAAGACATTCCTTCTCTGTGCTTGCTAAAGGATCCATATGCCTCCCCTTCTGAATCCCATTTGGAAAGCCTCAAAACGTTTGTTGGTGTCAGAACAGCAGAATTCCTTATGTCTTCAGTATTACCAATGATTTCTTCTTCTATTGACCATAGAGAGTATCTCAGATTGTCCCTTTGATTTTCAATGGAGTTTTGTCCCGAAAGAGTTAGATGACTTCTCGGTGTTACTGTTGTTGGCAAGTTTAACTCTGCTATGTCCCACTGAGGGATCAGGCTTGGAGAAATTCTATCAAGATGGTTCTGAAAACTTTGTGAGAGTGGAGGCGTCGAGTAGCTGTTAGGAGGCACACTGACTCTGAATTTTGAGTCTGAATGAAGAAGGTGCCTTAATTCCAAAGACATCATTGGAAGGAAGTCAGAACTCACCAAACTGATGTTTTTTAAAGAAATACCTGCATCTATTTGAACTTTACTTCTTGCTTTATCAATAGCATTTGATAGAGCATCATTCACTGAAAGACTTTGAGACTGTGGTGGTCCATGTGTTCTTGTACTGTTTATCAAACTCTTAAATGGTGTATTGATCAAGAAAGAAGCTTGGCTATGCCTTGAACATGAAGTCTGGGTTCCAGAATGTGTTGGAAGGACAGAAACAAGCTGCTGCCTATTGTTCAGGAAAATCATATTGGTTTGATCACTTACTCTGTCAGTTCCAGTTTGCATGTGCCAAGTATCAGACATCATTAATTTTTCTGTGGAGTTTTCAAGTACCTTATCAAAGGGACTTATCTGTGCCTGTACAGAGGGTTGACTCAAAGGTGCTTCCAGGGAAGGGAAAGGAAAATCAAAATAAGATTCACTGTTGGAAGACATGGTTAGGTTTGCAAAGTTCATTGTTGACTGCAACTCTGATATTGTTGTGCCACTACTTTTTGAAATTCTCTTTGAAAGGCCTGGAATAAATGAACTAAAGATTTGTGTTTCCAAGGTGGACATACGACTAGAGAAGGTCACTTCTCCAGCCCTGTGACCTATTAATCTAACGGCAGATGTTTGTTCAGAGATACTGTCAGACTTAGCGGGTGAACTGATGGATGGCAATCTCTCCGTTGGGGAAGAGAGAAGTTTGTTAAGTGAGAGCCACCAATTTTCTGATGGCTCCCCAGAAAACACTTGAGATGCTTCTTTCGAATGGTAGGAACCGGTCCAGAAACTTGCTGTTAAAGAAGGGGAAATACCTACATATTTTGTTGAAAGATCCAAGAAACCTGAGTCCCAGCTGTTGCTGACCCTATTCACGTTCTCTGGCTCTAATATGGAAAAAGTTGATTCTTCATTTTGATTACTATCATGAAATGCATCTAAATTGTTCTCCAGGACTCCATTTCTGAGAGTCTCACTTGGCTTTTGAAAATGTGCTGAATGTTTTAAATAACGAGACTGGTAATTGCTAGTAGACATAAATATGCTGCTACTTTCTACGTGTATATCAGTCAACAACTGTTGATAAACAGGCAGGGTCATTACAACCTGCTCAAACACTGAGCTCGTCCAGCCTGTTTCTAACAGAAGTGCTGAAAATGTTGGCAGTTCTCTACTGCGTCCCGGGTCTGAATTTGTCAGCTGAATGTCGGGCGTAAATTTTGTGTACGGTTTTTCCATGTTTTGAAAAAAAGCTGTCGGGTTGGCACACGGAGTCTCCGCAGAGGTTAAATTTGCAACGTCTCCTGAATGATGTTCCTTAATGCACGTAGATTTTCTAAACTGAAATTCACTGCCTGCTGCTAGCACAGAAGAAGGTTTCCTATCGGCATTGCCTCCTATCACTTCCAGGTAAAAATTTTCAGGTGTGAAATTTAGCAAAACTAGCCTACTTTTTTGGAACGAGGATTTCTCTTCTGTAGGTGATACAGACAAGCTAGAAAGAGAATGTCTGTTTTCTTGGATGTCAGAGGTGATATGAGGATGAAATACAGTCTCACTCCACCAACTCTCAGGCTCCAAGAGGTCGCTTGTACGCATGAAGTTGGTTGCACTGTTGTTGGAGGTCGAAATCCATGTGGTTTCTTCCTTGTGTCCATAAGCAGTGATGCTGCTGCTGAGGGGAGAGCGGAACGCTGACGCGGAGACGGAATGACCAAGCCCACCTGCCAAAGCCAGTGCCAGCTCCGCACTAGGACTTGTGTTTTGAAGAAGAGGAACTGCTGCACTCACAGAAGGCTCTGTAACAGCATCTGCTGCATCAGAAGTGCCACGAAATAAACTTCTAGAATCATCTGAAATATTTTCATTTGGTAACTGATTCGTCACAGTATTCTCTAGGTTGATTTTTTCTGTAAAAGCAGCCAAGGTATCGGTGCCGATCTCCTCAGAAGCAGCTGATGTGGACATAGCTGGAAGAAACAAGCTGTACATGTTTGTTCTCTCTGGGTTCTCATCTGCTGAGTTTTTACTGAAACGGACAGGCCTTTGCTTCACTGGCCAAATAATTGGAGTTGAGATAATTCCTATGTTTTTGACCCCTTCTATCTTAGACTCTTGCTGCCTCCGTGGTCGTGAATGGGAGGATTCAGGTGAATGTCTCTTCATTCTGAAGATAACCGTAGCAGGAAGCCTGAATTCCTGCAGGTCTGAGTGCAGTAAGCCACATAGTTAATGGATTAAAGAAAATACATGCAACTTAACTCTCTGTTCTTGGCTGTCTGCACTGGGTCTAAAAATCAACTTACCAACAGTGGAAAACGATGTCAGCTAGCTGAGTGCAAGTTTAATTTGCTTCTACTGTAAATGAATTAGGCTTATTTTTCTTAGTCTTTCTGCTTTCTCTTGGGAGTTTCAAAGCCAAAGAAAGGACTTAATTGTCCAGTTTTTATTCACACTAACATTAATAAGGCATTCAGTTCCTTCTGTAGTTACAAAAATCAAGTTAACTGCTCATGGTGAACATAGAGAGAGTGGCTCCACAAACAGATGAAAGTACAATTTAGAAGAAATTTGCAATATTTTCTTCTTACTTCTACAGCTTAGTAAATCCAAGCAGGCTGAATTCAGATAAATTCTTTCACATTGTCTACTGTACTGTCTGATTGCCAATGCACAAGAAACGATCTGCCAAAAGAAAAATTACTTCAAGAATTTTAAATCCCACAGAAACAACTGATGCATTTGGGGAAAAAAAACCCAACCAACCAACCAAAACAAACCAACAAAACCCCACCAAACCACACACAAAAAAACCCCAAATTCTAATTTACTTTGATGGAGCACACTGAAAAACAAATCTTTACAAAAAATATCTTTAAGCCTCATATGAAAATTGCAGAAATCTCTCTGTGGTGTTAATAATATTTAACAACTGTCTTTAACAAACTAATAAATATTTCAGCAGCACCTCACAAATGATGCTCAGTCTCCAGGAGACAGTGATATCATAGAATTTGAGAAAACCTCAAAAGAAACCCCTGCTTTTTTCCTGTGCTAATAATAGGCTCATTTACTGCCTTATTTTTTCCCTTAATCTTTCTAAATGAAAAATAAACGATATCTGATACTGTCAACATTTTCCCTAGTAAAGTCTGATCCAGCTCTTCTTGAAGTCAGTGGAAAGATTCCTGTTGACTCAGTGGAAGTGGCTTTGCTCCATCGGAACGATTCCACTTGGCTCCTGCGCCCGACTAGTGAGGAACAGACCATCCCAGCATACTACCACCTACCACCCTGGCTGCACAGGCTGGGGCTACACAACACCTCATGATCTGCAGCCTTAGAGCATTTCAAAAGCTCGATTCTTTTCAGACCCTTTTTAAAAACACCGCTCTCTCCCCTTGCTCTTTGCACGGGTAAATCCGACGGGTGACACAAGGAGAGTCCCTTTTGTACAAGAACCATGTAAACATGGTATGAATAAACACTGAGTTTGGTTCTGTTCTCATTTACACCACTCTTACACGGTCCAGTGAAGTCCCTCCTGATGTATTTCAGGGTAAATGAGATCAGAACCGAGCACGACCCTTGACATTATGATAGTATGAAAAACACACCTTAAAACACAGTAAATTTGCTCTAGACACAGTACAAGGAAAAATGTAACACAGGATTTCTTACCATTGTTTGGCTTATCGTTTCTATTAGTATCGGGCATGTTAGTGGTGACAGTGGGTGGTGTAGGAGTAGTAGCATTTACAGTAGCTGGTAATAAAGATGAGAAAGAGGTGAACTTGAATGAAAAATGAATGTTAATGAGGTAAGACAAAATGGGAACAACGCATGACAATGCAAAATGAAACCATCTACAAACAATGCCATAAATGTTAAGTAAACACATTACTTTTTCTGCACAAAGTGATGAATGGATATGAACTGAGGTCCCAATCCTGCAATCTTCCCTTTCACTGACTTTAGTGGGAGTGTTGCCAGTGGAAGGGTTGCAAGATCAGTCCCGTACTGCTTTCATAAACTCAAAATCCTCTTATGAGAGCTTCAGATCCAAACAGCTGTGCAAAGACCAGAAAATAGATCTTGTAAGTTCTAAGATGCATGCACTTAGAATATTGCTTGTGAAAAGAATAACTGTCTCTACTCAGGGACGGAAGGTGACAAGCAAATGTAGAAACTAAATACCCACGTAAGGATCCAATTAACTCCACTGAACTCCATACAATGAAAAGAATTGAAATCAGGCTTGGAATAATTGGAGTGGAATATACATACTGAAAGCTACATGTTGGATTTCAGCTGTACCGTTCCCCCGACACTAACCAGACTCATCCCATACAACTGTTTCCCATACAACTGTTTCCCAGCAGAACTAGCTAGAACACTTTTCAAATTCAGAGTGAGAAGCCAAAACTGCACATCTCCCTCACAGCAGACTGGGAGGGTATATATGCTAGAGAAATTCAAAGATCCTGACGTTAAATTTTTGAGGAATAGTTTGGAAAATATTTTACTTTTATCTAATCACTCCCAGGGAATGCAAATCCACTCACTGACAGATTTCTTTTTTTTTTTTCTCCTGAAAACTCTTTTTAAAATCTGAAGGTCGGTGCAGTATGATCTCACATACGTGTTACACAGCTTTTGCAGGTTTTGCTCAAGAACCAACCTGGAAAGGCTAAGCAATCGTATTTTAGGCAAGAAATTGCACTTTTTATTTTTTTTGTGAAGTTATTTTAGCCAAGTTTTTAAGTCCGAAGTTCATAAGTTGAGGTCTCAGCTTAAGGAGCAGGTTCATGTTC